CCTCAACTCACCAACTCCCCGAATGTCGCTGGGCGCTTTTTCACATCCTCATCGTCACTGAAAATAGAGAAAAAAATCACGAGTTAGTCGACTCACCTACAAGATCCCCTTACTGAGGACGCGCAGAGGGTGGTGGGCGGGTGCTCTGGTGTGGTTTGTTCTTCTTTCTTATCAAACATCTATCGCCCTCATCTCTCTTCCTTTTGTGTGTGCGTGTGTGTTACTCTCTTGTAACACTTAATCTATTCTTCAGCACTTATTTATGGCCCTTTTGTGTTGCAAGTGCCACAAAATTCTTACCAAAAAAAATAAAGATAAATAAACAAGAGGACTCCCCCTGCGGCTGCTCAATCAAATGACCGAAGACTCGCCCTTTTGGGGATATACAAGAAGCATAACTTAGTTATTCAAATAGATTTTCTTATTCTGTTTTCTTTTTTATATCTTTAAAAATGGCTGTAAACAATGATACACATTATGAAATGTTTAGATTCAGGTTTCAGGTTTGTGTATGGCAAGTTCGAAATGTGCTTCAACAAGGCCGTTAGTCTGTTGGTTGGACATACCAGCTGGCTAGACAAAAGTTCGTTCAAAGAAATGTTAGTAACTTTCTTGTTTATGAACCAATTGACATCAACATTGACAGGAAGCTAGAACATTATTCCGGATTCTTTTTCTAACAGGTCACTGCTGACGCACAACGGTAAGATAATGAAGAAGGTCACCCCTGTACGAGTCATACATATATACACATTTACATCTCTGTCTTTCTGTTTTCATTTCAAGATATATTAGCAAACGAAATCTCCCAGATCGACTTGCGCATTATTTGCCCAGGTATTCGGGATATATATCTGTAACAAACATAATGTTCCCATCGAAAGGTTCATTTTGAAATGGGCTGCACATTTTGAAAAGCTTGAAAACAAAGAAGATAAGAACTCGAATTCTAAAGTCCTCAGTAACTCACAGTAGGTAGCCTGTAAAAACAACGCACTCTTAACTTAAAAAAGGTTAGAGTGGTCCATGATTCAGTGAGCTCTGACCGATGCTTCGTCGTCTTATCAAAGTTCTGGAGAAGCTTGAAACTGTTTGTCGATGATGAAGAAAGACAAAACCTAAAACTTTCAGCAAAATGGGACTGCTCCGCATAACGCCGCAGCTTCTCTGTGATTGATCAGCAACCACTTTGGTTACAGGACAGTCAGTCCGACTGAGCACAGATGGACCCCAAATAATCCAGATCCTAGTTCACCGAACTTCCAATATTGGATGTGTTTGAAGGACAAAGTGTTTGGGAAAACCTACGAAAGTATCCAAGACTCGAGAGAAACCACCATGGAGGACACGACAGAGATTTCCCTCAAAATCGTCAACGCCTGATTGTCAGTTTCATTCAGCGTGTCAGAATGTGTTGTACTCGAAATCGGGGGTATCTGGAAGATGTCCTGTACCTTTGTTTGTTTCTTTTTTATTGTTATAAATATATAACAAATTCGTATAGATATCCCTCGTTTCTGAAAACGTTGGTGTTTGTAGCTTCATTCATAACGGTTTTATCGGCTTTCTTTTGAAAGAACCTTTTCTGGTCACCTGGTAATTATGTGCCTGGTATGTCTTTACAGGATTAAACCATCATATCTTTATTATTATTGCCGGAGTTTACTTTTCACTTGAAACATGGTACCGTCTCAGTGGGAACAAATCCCTTACCAACACCTTGGTTGCTCCACATATGGCATATTTATGTCAAACTTGGACCTTGAATACCCCCCCCCCCCAGAAAAACAACAAACAAACAAACAAAACAAAACAAAAACCAACAACGAAACAAACAAAACAAAAAAACCCATCAAAAGCCCAAAAACAACAACACAATACAACAACAACAACAACAACAACAACAACAACAACAACAACAACAACAACAACAACAACAACAACAACAAAACAACAACAACAACAACAACAACAACAACAACAACAACAACAACAACAACAAAACTATGCAATAAAAGCGATGCTAAAGAAACATTTTGAGCAAAACAAGACTTGGCATATTATTCGCAACGCCTCCAGCATAGAAATAATCGAAACCAAAGATGTCATCAACAAATAATAAAGTGGTCTAGTCACCCTACCCGTTCACCTGCACACCGCCCAGATCAACGTGCATATCGCCAGCAAACTGTTCAAAAGTAAAGTAAAGTTGTTCCGGCATCGGATCCGAACATTGGGGATTGCCTTGTTTGTGAGACAACTTTCTGGGCATTCGGCATGATTATTGTGGTAGGGTGGCCAGTTTCTTTCCACGCCGCCTTTACTTTCCCAACTCACAGTCAGGTACCCATTACTGCTGGGTGGGCAGGAGGGGGCGAAAAAATCCGTGTCCGAACCGAGGCTCGAACCTGGATTTTCGGCTTCGAAGACGTGCGTAATGATCGCTAGTTCAAGAGTACTAAGCCCAAAATAGTCTTAATTTGTTTCATCGTATGCAGTTACTTAATCTACGTTATCGGTTGCATGTTTTTTTCCTGTCTCCTATCATTGTTTTCCGTTTTTGGTCTAGTATAAATGAATAGCTAGGCGACAATATAATACACAACTCAACTATCACAGAGGCCGGCCAGTAAAGACGTGACTCGATCAAGCCACAGAGGCGTCAGTATCACAAAACATGACCTTTATCTAGGGCATCTGACATGTGATAAAGAGAGATACACATTTCTTCTCGCCACTCGTCATGTGGTATAAACAGTTAATAAAAGTACTGGTTTGTCCCTTACCTTTCTGTTAATTTGACTTTGGCTCCCCACTGAGCTACTGAATTTGACACCCGTGTGGCAATAACATAAAATTACAAGTCTTAGCCTTAAAGATGTTGTAAGTTGGACACCAGGAGGGCTTGGCAATGTTTCAGGACATGGTGGATGTATATATGTGTAAGAGGGATATACATATAATATATATATA